CACACACACACACACACACACACACACACACACACACACACACACACTCACTCAGGCACACTCACATACACATGTCCATGTAAATAAATAAAGTAAAATATTAAAAAAAAGAAGCTGAAGCAGCTGGAGGCCAACACTTGTCCCAGGGAGACAGGTAGAGAAGCAGAGCCAGACCAAGGAGGAAGAGTGGGTGGGATCCTACTGTTCTCCCTGGCTGGTGGCCACTGGTTAGGTGCCTGAGGTGAAGAGGAAGGAGAATGTGGGCTGACACTAGGCTCCTTTGCCTATCTGTGTGGCTTCCATTGGAGCAATGCCATTCTCATGACTGTGTTCTCTTCAGCCCTGGAGAAAAAAACTCTCCTGACATTGGCCAGCTGGGCTTCTGTCTCTGCAGCAGCTTCACTGATGCGATCGTTCTGTTACTTGCCCAGTTCTGAATCTTCTCCATTCAGCCCCACTAGCACCTACACAGACAGTTTCTAACAGTTGAGGCCACGATCCTAGGATATCTCAGACACTAAATGCCACCTGGGAAATGCAGGGAGAGCTGACTTTCTAGCCAGCACTTCAGTCCTGCTCTTGGGGCACCTGCTGAGGAGGCCTAAGGCTATAATCATACCATTTCTTTCCCTGCAGATGTCTATCTTCTGTGTCCCAGGAGCATCTGTCTGGACCCAGAACTCCTCCATATACCGGTGTGGGACTTGTATCTGTTGATCTATATGTGAGAACCCACCCTGTCAACACCTGATCTGGAACTTCACTGAACACAGCTTGAGACAAAACAACCAGCTGTGGAGGCAACTGAACCCACGTCCTTTGCTGAAGACATAGGGGCCCAGGGTCACAGAGAGCCACATGCTTCTCAGCTGGGATGGGAGGCTTTGCCTGGCCAGTCTTGGGGTATGCCCAGGCTCTTGGTGGTCCTGGCAGCAGGGCTAGAACCCAGCTGTGAGGGACCTATTGAACCCTGGGAGGACACAGGACCAGGAAGGAGTTAGAGGGCCCCATGGCTCCGTGGTCTGCTTAATTGTGTCTTGTTCCTAGATGTTAGGGCTGGGACACGCAGGAAGGGCACTGTGAGATGCAGAATATTAAAAGAATATTTTATTGTTGAAAACAACATCAAAGCTTGCACACACACACACACACACACACACACACACACACACACACACAGAGAGAGAGAGAGAGAGAGAGAGAGAGAGAGAGAGAGAGACCTTAAAAGCACTTATGGTCTCCAGAAAAAGAAGCTGTTAAAGTCCCAGTTCTCCAAGCATTTCCACTCACAGAAGGGCAGGTGGCCATTTTTTCTTTCTGTCTGGAGACTCTGACTTCTCATTGGCCCTGAGAGGTAATGAAGAAACAGAGGCGGGAACACTGTCCATTGGCCACAGCCTCCCATTCCCCATGTCTGTCTTCCTGGATGTCTACTCCAACTGGGATTTTCTACTTTAATTAGCTCAGTCTGGATACCAGGCCCTCAGGGCAGACCTGATGCACCCTGTCTTCCTTATAATCATCCACTCCGATCTCTTCCCTGTTGCTCCGTGGCCCCCCACCCCACCTTTTTTTAGTCTGACAGGAATCTTCTCACCAGGGCTGTCTCCTGGAGGCTTTCCTGGATGATCACCCATCCAATGCTCAGTGGCCTTGGCACTTGTTCTGGCCAGGACTTTGCAGAGGCTACACAATGAAGTCCTTCCAAGTGTCTCTCTGGAGTGTGGCTGGTGTCTCTAAGGAAGTGGCAGTGGGCTTGTCTTGAGTGTGTGTGGTCAGCAGTGTCTGTGTGTTGGATCCTGTGTCTGAGAACCCAGCATGTTGACTGGGTAGCAGGAAGAGAGGCCTGCCCAAGGAGTTCCATCTTCAGGAGACTCATCCCAACAGTTTGGGTAATGTAGGCCCTTTGCTCATCCAGGGGTTCACAGAGTACCAGGAAGGAAGCTGGCTCAGCATAGCTGGTGTGGAAGTTACCACTGTGACCCTTTGGACTACTGGGACTCTGTTCTTCCTCCAAGATGTCTCCTTTGAAGGATCTGAAAACTGCCCTTTCTGGGAAAAGCCCTCTGGGAAGAAGTTGTGGGCATAGACACCATCAGCTCCAAGGCTGATTCCCACACAGCCGGACTCAGGCCATGGGCTCCCAGCTCCTCTTGGGCAAACATTCTGAGGTCTTGGATTCGCTGGTGCTGGTTTGGTGGGGGATGGTCCTTCTGGCCCTAACTAGTTAGCTATCTGGCAACTGCCTTGGAGGTGTTGCTCTGGGCTGGGACAAAGCCTGCTGTCCACATGATGCACCAGAGGAGAAACAATGGAGAGCACTGGATGAGAGAGTCTTAAGGTCGCAGGAAGGTGGTGTCAGATGGCAGCATGGCCTCCTCGTTAGGTTGCACAGTAGGATGCATGTGCTTCTGCAGGGCCTAGGAAGCCCTGATCATGGCAGAGGAAGTGGCCTAGGCCCCCTGTCCAATCATGTTCCTGTAGTCAGGGGACATTGTCTGCTTCAGCTCCACCACTGAGGAGAAGATCCATTTCACCTGTGGGGAGGTGAGAGTAAGTTGGAGACCACACCCATGCTCAGGCCCTTCAGTTCTCTGGGCAAGACAGAGACCCTCCCTCCTGCAGCTCCTCCCATGCAGGTAGAAGGGTGTGTGTTTGTGTGTGGGTGTGGCCTGAGGCCAGTGTGGGAGAGAACAGGAGATAAGGAAGAGTATATTGGGCCATGGTGAGGCTAATGGGGACGTTAGGTGGGTAGTGTGGTCATTAGCATGGGGCAGCAAGGGACATGATGAGGTAGTGTGGCATACAAGGAGGTTCCATGAGACAGTACGAGGATAATATGGGGAGTCACACAGAACAACGTGGGACATCTGAGGGAACGGTGGGAATAGTATATGGGACAGAGCGGGGAGAGCAAACGAACATCACACTACATCAGAGGAGGAGTGTGAGGACATTATGGGTCAACATAGGGCATCACAGGAGAAGGTTGGGGAACGGTGCCGACCTTGTAGAGTGTGATGGTGGCGCTGTAGCACACGCTGAGCAGGAAGAGGGTGATGAAGATGGTGATGGTCGTCCAGAGCCCGTCCAGCTCCCCGTCCTGGGCCTCAGCACAGGTGTCGCCCAGTTCCACCTCTGGACAGAGAGGGACAGTCAGAGTTTGTCCCAGCCAGGCAGGGCTGGGGCAGTTCCCTGTGTGGCCGGTGGGGCTACATAGATGCCTGGGGTAAAGCTCCAGCTGGCTGGCCCAGATCACCCTCCCTCCACCATCCATCTTTTATTTTCCCTTGGGACATCAGCATCACGTCTCCCAACTGCCTCAGACCAGGCCTTGAGATTTGCCAGACACAATGGACCTGACGGTGGCCTGGATTGTGCAATACCCATCCCTGTTTGCCTCATCCTTCTTTCCTTCAGTGCAGGAGGAACTCTCTGGGAAGCAGGGCCTGTGCCCCCAGTGGGCAGTGTCTATACAGCCTACCTAATCCTTTGCCTGTCCCCTGGTCAACAGCGGCGCCTGTGCCTGCTCATGCCTGGATTTCAGAAAACTCCACAGTGTGAAATGGTACAGACCACTATGGCTTGTGGGTTGTATAATTATGTGGGGCTGAAGCATGACCTTGAGAGCCAGAGAGAGATCTGGCTTCAGAGGTCTTGTGTTGAGCACAGGATGCAGGCTTGCTCAGAAGAGGAAAGCTGTGTCTGGTTGCGCTGGCACCAGAGTGGATGTTAACGTGGTGGTTGGGGGTATCCTGACACATTGATGGGTGTAGGTGCTGTTCAGGGCACACAGATAAGGTCCCAGCGTGTCAGGTGTCTCTGTGCACATGTGTGCGTGTGCATACCTGTGCTATATGGCCTGGGTAATGTTCAGCGTGCTGGTTTCAGTGTGTCAGGATCCAGTGTGTATGTGGCTATCTAGTAGAGCCTTTCTTGAGGCAGAGAGAGCCATGTGCCTCAGTACCATGTGGCACAGGAGCGGGTGAGCAATGGGTGTGAGGTGTGCAGAACTAGGCCATGCAAAGCTGCCCGAGTTGAGTGTAGGGATGGCAAGGGTCTCTGGCATGCCCGTGGTTGCGTGTGCCTCTAAGCATACTCAGAGGAACCTCTAGCTAGGGCGGTGTGGTGGGGTAGGGGGCAGGGGTAGATTGAGGAAGATGAGGTTTGTGTGTTTTCTTCCTTGGTGTTTTCCTGGGTGTATCTCTCTGTTGGCAGCTGCCGGTTTGTGGGAAGGCAAGGAAGAGGGGCTGCCTGAGGCTAAGCCCCACACTCCAGGCCAGAAAGACTCATGAGCTCTGGCTCTGGCAGTGCAGAAACCTTATTCTCTTGCTAAAGACAGCTCAGGCCTCAGACTCTAGCCAGACCTCAGAGCCCATGACCTAGCCTGTATACCCGGAAAGAACCAGTACATTGTCACAGGGTCCCAGGGCAGTGCTGGGTGCTTTATTTACGCAGGGGAAGGGTAGAGATGGGCCACAGTGTCCTTTAGGACCTGACAGCTTTCTGGGTGCTGAGCTCATTTACCCGGAACCCGGGAGATGTCCTTCTTCGTGCGGTGATTGTGGAGAGCCTCGTGTATCACAGTGCAGGAGTATATGTCGCCTTGTTCCCAGCTGGCCTTTTCCACATTGAGCTTGCTGTACATGAAGTAGGACTCTTCTGATTCCTGGACAAGTAGGGTGTTCTTATAGTTCCTCTCTTCTTGCCCATTTTTCTCCCACTCCACAGCAATGTCCTCAGGGTAGAAGTCATTGATCATGCAGGTGATACTGAGCTGGTTCCTGGTCATCTGCTCCTTTGGTGGAGGAAGGGTATAAACCTGGGGTTCTCGGACTTGACCTATGGGTTAGATAGACACAATGGTCATTGCCAAATCCCATACCAGTGTTCATTTTTATGCTCATCACAGCCCCCATCCAGTCTGCCTGCAGCTCCCACCTTTCTTTTTGGAGATGGTTTTCACGATGGGGCTTGGGAGCGCTTTGTTGTTGACTTTGCATTTGAACTCCTTGCCCGACATCCAGTCCTGGTGCTTGATGGGGAGGGTACTGACCACACGGAAGGTGCTGTTGTACTGTTCCTCATGGGTCTGCGTCTGAGCGTTGTGTACTTCCACGTTGCCCACAAACCAGTTGAACCGGACGTCTCGCTCATCCTCGCTCACGTCCACCACCACACAGGTGATCTTGGGGGTCAGGGTCATCATGAGTACATCCTTGGGCTTTGGGGGGAAGATGAAGACAGATGGTCCACCGGAGAGGTCAGGAGCTGATGAGGAGATGTGGAAATGGATCAGTACCTGCCTCACCCTCCAGTGCAGGGATGCTTATGGCCCTTGCCATCATCCTGGGGCTGGAGCACAGGCCCACTGACTTACCTGGACACTTTGGACAGGTAGGACATGGATCTTTGTCTGTATGGGGGTCTCTGGGCACTGTGGAGAGAAGGCTGGATGTTAGTGGGGTTTGAAGGAAAGAAGGTACCACACCTGAGATGGGTCAAGTTTGTCCCTTGTAGGGGCTAAGGCCAGGCTGCTCCTGGGAATGGTCCTTTGCAGGTTGAGACCTGAGGGACATGGATATCTCTCCCAGAGGACCATGCCTTGGGGGCCAGAGACCTCCAGGAGGGAGACAGACAGCATCTCTTGTTGTCCTGAGCCGATCCCCTCCCTGTAGATGGCTGCGCTGCCTGGTTGGTCTATGTAGATGAACAGCTCAAGACCCATCTCCCATGAAGCACTCCTCCCCTGGTAGTGCTCTCACCAACTGTCTTGTCCACCTTGGTGCTGCTGGCCGGGTGGGCTACGTTGCAGGTGACGGTCTGGCTGGGCCAGGTGCTGGAAGGTACAGTCACGGAGCTGCTGAGGGTGTAGAGCCCAGACTGCAGGAGAGATGGGAAGGTGTGCACGCCGCTGGTCAGGGCTCCAGAGTTCCAGGTCACGGTGGCTGGCTCAGGGAAGTAGCCCTTGACCAGGCATCCCAGGGTCACCGTGGATCCAGACGTCGTACAGGCCGGGGCCAGCGGATAGACAGATGGGGCTGTCGTTTTGGCTGCAGGAGAGGAGGAAACATGGCCTTTTCTGACAGGAGTGGGCACAGCTATTTGAAAAGGCTCTGGCATTAGCTTTGCTCTTAAGACTGTGTCTTCTGGAGTTCCTCTGAGGCGAGTCAGCAGCTTCCACCTCTGGATCCTGGACCCTGATCTCAATTTCTTTTAGACATTTATTTTATGTGTATGGGTATGTGTACTACATGGTGTGTCTGGTGCCTGTGAGCTTTGAAGAGGGGGTTGGCTCGCCTGCAAGTGGAGTTATAGATGGCTGTGAGCAGCTCGGTGGGTCCTGGGAACTGAACTTGGGTCCATGTAAGGGCAGTAAGTGCTGCCAACTGCTGAGCCATCTCTCTAGGCACAGGAGCCCTGATCTTTCAGTGAAAAAGGCCTTCAGCAAGCCCTCTTCAGTCTACTATTCTTATGCAATGCTTGACTCTTAAAGCTGAGTTCTAGGTCTCTGTCTGTGACTTCAGCTCTTCCTGAGGGTCACTACCACCCCCTATGCTACACCTTCTGAGTGTGGGCAGCCTTTCTGTGTTGACCTGGCTGGCCACTACTCTGCTCCTTGTTTTATGCTGCCAGCCCAGTCCTGCTGATGAGAGCCTGGTAAGATGGGCTATCTTTCTCCTCCTATCTCATTCTTACATTCTCCTGGGCACTCCCTAATAGTGCTAATGTTTCCAGGCCTCATAAAAGTCCCTTTCTCTTTCCAGCAGCGGTTAAAATTGGAACATATGTGCCCATTCTTCCAGAAGACACCTCTTTCCCCCCTGCTTTCCACTCTGCTTCATTTTTCCTTCCTTTTTAAATATCATACTTCTTTTTGTATGTATCAAACCTCATATTGAACAATGAATCCTGGGTTGCAGAAGAGGATTTTGTTTTGCATGTGTAATCCCTGCTGTTGTTTTTGTTTTACAAACCCACACAGAAATGCTTGATTCATTCTTACTCCCAGGGCCCTTCTGGTCACCTTTCCACCTCCCTTGTACCCTGTCTTCTGCAATCCCTGCTTAAGCTCTGAGAGTTACCTTACCACTGTGCTGTGGCTCAACTCTTCATACTGCCGTACAGGTTTGACCCTCCTGCCTTAGGTTTCCTAAGCTCCCGGTACAGTACCTATCCCCAGGGTCTTTCCCTGTCTTTGTTCCTGCTCACTCAGACACTTTTTTTGCTCTTTCTGAAACCTGTTTTTTTTTTTTTTGTTTGTTTGTTTGTTTTGCCTGAAATACTTTCCCTTTCTTCTTTTCCATCCTCTTCCCTTCTCTTTATGTTCTTCCTTCCCTCCCTTAACCAGACAGTACTCTGGTTAAGAGACCATTGTACTTTTCCTTTCCCATCCTCTTCCCTTCTCTTTTGTTCTTCCTTCCCTCCCTTAAGTGGACAGTACTCTGTCTGGCCAAGCCCTCACTCTCCCCTGTGAGGAGAAGCCTGTACAGGGAGTGATCTTGTCACTTCTGAGTCCCCAGGAGGGTCACCTCTCTCAGAAGCACTCTCCAGAGAGCTTTTCCCTGTTCCCCACCCTCTGAGATGAGCTCCTAGAGCCTGTGGATCTCACACTCTCCTGTCCTCCCACTGCTCCCAGCTCTGGAAGCATTCTGTGTTCCCTGTGTTCTGCTGGTCTAAGTGTTCGGGTCTCACTAGCTCACAGCTGCTTAGCCCTGACCCACCATCAGGATAGGTCCAGCCTTAAGCTCTTGGCTCTCTTACCCTTCTGTCTGTTGTCCATTCATGTCAGCATGGTCAGGGTAGCCAATCCATCCCCTCTGCCCCTTAGTACCCCATCTTGCTGACTATTCTGCTCCATCCTCATTTTCACACCCTGCTGGCCACAGCTTTGCTATCCCTGTTGGCTTGTTACCTCATTCTTGGCTGCTCCAGTGGCCTGAACATGGTGGCTTGGAAACTTCCTACCACTTGTTTGTTCCCTATGCTGTCAGTTTACTGTTGAGTCTGACCTGAGCTCCCGGAGCCCTGAGATGTCTCTGTTGGAGCTCCTGGATCCCCATCAATGCCGTATTTCCTAGTTCCCTTGTAGATGCTTGGTTCCTTATATTTTCACTTGCTCCAGCTCTCTGAAGCTTCTCAACCCTAATTTCCTAGGGCTATCACGAACCCAATTAGCCTCCGACTGTAGCTGCTTGGCTTGGTTCTCCACATGCTCACAGGACTCCAACCTCCTGATAGCAGTTTGGCCTGTCCCCCCCTACCCCAATAGCTACCCCAAGTCCTCAGTAGCTGCTTGGCTGAGTCCTCCACATGCCTATCTTCTTCAAAGCTCCTGGAGCTCTTGTTTCTTACACTTTCACTCCCCTATTTCCCCTTATTTGCTGTCCTTGGTCCTTAGAGCTTCTGGGGCTTCTCTGGGCCCAACACTCGCACCTCTCCTAGAGTCCCTGTAAGTCTGCCATGGTCACCCAAACTCCTGGAGATGCTCTAGCACCCTAACCCTGATCCCTATCCCAATGTTCTGTAAATTCCCAGCCTGTCCTCACTCCTGCCCATGCTTATCCTAGTCCTTGAGCTCCTGCGTTTCCTTGGATGACACCCAACCCCACCTGCTTCAGACTCAGCCCAGTTCTCCACACTTCCATCAGTCTCAGGTCTCTTGTAGCTGCTTGGCTGGGTCCCTCACATTCCTAGCTCCAACTACTAACAGCTGCTTGACCTGGCTCCACAGCACCACTAATCCTTGCTCTTTGAAAGCAACTTGGCCTGTTTCCTCTGACAGACTTGACCTAGTTCTCCCAAAGCTTCTCATCCTAATCCCCTGCTGCCATAAACCCTAGTTTTCCTGTAGCTGTTCGGCCTGCTATCCCACCCCCTCACCTGCTTCAGGCCCCGCAGCTGCTGGGTCTGTTCTCATGCTCACACCTGCTTTAGCCATCTCACTGCGTCTCTGCACAGTTGCCCACATTCACAGTTCCCCTAAAGCAGCTGCCTCACCCTCACCTGCCTCATTTCTCCCATTGCTGCGAGGTCTGCTCCCCCACA